CTCTCCGACATACCCGACTGGCCAAGAATCGAAGCCGTTGCTGAGTTTAGACTACGTACCGGACACGATTGCTTGGCAAAACACCTTCACAGATTGGGATTATACACTCAACCCACATGCCCTCTATGTAACCTACATGAGGAAATGGAGAAGACTCACCTGATTCGGTGTCCAGCCCTAAAGACAAATACGGAAAGCCAAAGATACTGGGAAGCAAGAAGACAGCTAATGAATTGCTATTAATTAACTGCTATAAATGTACCCCCCCCCTCCCTTCTTGGGGGAAGCTGAAGTCAAAGATTAGTGGCTAATGATAAATATCATAAAGCCTGCCATTTGAAATAAATAAATTTTGTAAAAAAACAGCAGCCAAACATGTGCAAATCCTTTTTTGCCTAGATCAGCGTTTTGACCCTCTTTTCTTCAATTTGTCTGGCGTGGTGATACCAATTGTGGAACCAAACGCAATTTCTTACAAACACGCTTTAAAGATTACTTCAAAGAACTCACGTTTGGTATCTCTTACTCTGTAGATTCCCGATTTAAATTCTAAATCCGCTCCAAACAACACTCATCGTCGGGATTTTAAACATTCCATCCCAATTCAATCTTCCGATTCCGCGTATATGTCGAAGTCATTTGCTTCCAAATATTCACAGTAACCCAAAGTTTCAGAACTGCTGGATGCAGAATATTTTACCAGACTTTGAACACCTTTAATTAATTAGTTTACGTCTTAGTGAGAGCAATTGACATCAATTTTTAAATAAAAAATTGGATAATTATTACGAACATAGTTACTCATTGATCTAGTTTTGGCACGTTAAATTAAACAAATAGGCAGACCTTAATTTTGTTCAGTTTTTCGAATATCATAAAATAATAGCTTACTTTCGTCGAAATAGGCAATGCTTTAATTGAGACATTTGTTATCACAGAAGTTCTAATTATTTATCATTTCCGTCATATATTTTTGATCTTGAATTTTAATGATTTTATCAGTGTTGTTTTACTAAGTAAGCTAGTTTTACTGAAATTTCATTATCAAGGTCATAAACAATTTAAACTTTTTGTTTATTTTCGACCTGAAGAGTGCAATTGTTTTATCATGGCTCTCCAAGACATTTTCATTTCAAGATTCTTGGTCACTAAAATTCTTTCATGCACTAATCTAACTGAAAAGTTTCTTGTTATAACATTGCGACTCGTCTATGATTAGCTTATTCCGCACTTAATTTAATTATGTTAATTATATTTGAACGCATTGACATTTAAAATTGCACTCTGCTTTGAAGTCTATTGAATTAAGTAGTTATCTGCTGTATGTAGAATGACTTAATTGCAAATTTTAGGAAGTAGCCTTCCAATCACACACCCAGCAAGCGCACTCATCATGTTATTAAGCTATACACCCGAACATTCTGGTGAGTGGGACCGTGCGAATAGAGGACCGCTCAGATATTCAGTTATTAATGTTTGCCCAATTATGCTTGATGTATGCGATAAACTTATTACCTTTGCTGATATCTTAATTTCCAATAAAGGCTTCAGTTGCAACATCTGCTCCTCCTCTCCATCATTGCGATAGTTCAAGTCCGGGTGCCTTTCCAACTAGGAATGCATTTCTTAGATATTTTTGAGTATGATCAAGGCTTTTTAGGGTAACAGTCTGCCACTCGCATGCATGATATTTATACTTATACGGTGCAAATTTAATTTTAGATTTTATATTAACATCCTTGAAAATAAAGAAACATATTATTGCAAATTTAATTCACGCGTTTGTTATTTTCAAGTTTAAGGCTATATTAAATGAATATAATCATTTAAATAATATAATAATATCTAGAATAATGTCAGCTAAAGGATAAGTAGTGGACAAAGATTATATCAGGCACTAAAGATAGGGAGACAAATTTGACATATCGAATCTGACATATATACAAGGATACACAATAAAAAAATCAAAAGTTTTGAATATATAAAGACGTCACGTGGATTAATTCGGTCGAAAGGGTAAAATGGGTCTAAAAAGAGGACGAAGATAAGAAGAGGGACCAGCGGAAAGAAGAAAAGGGTGTTGGAGAAGTTGGGCTGCTGAAGCCCTTCGTGTTTCATTGCGAGTCAACGCAGCACTCATAAAATCAAGTAATTCCGATGAGTGCTAAAATAAATGCTACTGAGTTATTATCAGTACGGTGTTCATATAGAATAACCAATATTGTGGACTTTAGATATGATCTGCATTGTTTAAAGATAAATTTGAATTTAAAATCTCCAAGTTTTTAAATTACTCGCACTTAAATATTTAACTTTGCGCTTCTTCAAAATGTTTTTTTGAAATGACAATTTTTGCATAGCCCTGTACAATTTTTGGCACTAACAAGGGTGCGTATCAACCATTATTTTTCAGCTTCGTTAACAAAGAATGGGATTATCTATCTTCGGCACAAGCGAAGAGATTGACTTATTTACTGGTGAGAAGCAATCAGTAACATTTAAACTTCTAGTCATGGACGTGCGACAGTAGAGCATAATTTTGTAAAATCTTATCTCAGTTTTGTTAGTTACTGCAACTCTTGTCAGTCACTATTATAAATGCTAGCTTCTCAGAAAGAATGTTCATTTTTTGTTGTCATTTTTTCATAATTTAATATAATATTTGATAAAGGATTAAACAATTTAGGGGTTATGAAGATTCAAATTCAGCACTCACATTTTCAGGATGTTTGAGACGCGGTACAAACCTCTCCCTTATGAGTCGCATAGCGACAGAAGGAGTTTCATTAAAAAGACTTGGCTCTCCATCGATCATTTCAATGACAAGCACACCGAAAGACCAAATATCCACCGAAGTGTTGTACGGCGATCGTGCAATAACCTCCGGTGCCATCCAGTAAGGTGTTCCAACTAGGCTTTTTCTTCGTGGACACTGCGGCGTCAACTAAGAATGAGCAATAAGACATAAAAGGAATGGCAATATTATCACATCTTAAAATTAAATTTTCACTTTAGCAAATCATATTTTACATGGGTCTTCTAAACCTGGTCGTTTAAAGAGAGGCAAGGTATGTGCTCAATTTAGTGTATGCTGCTTAATATTAATAACTCTGCTTAATTTATCATCACCTACCGGTAACTATGGAAATTACAATCCAATTTTAGATCCTGAAATATCTTCATCAACTGTTTTATTGATTTTTCATGGCTCAGTGTTATAGTATTCTCTCGTGCGCTAATAAAGTAAATTGAAAAAGTTCTGACATTATGCATTATAGTATTTATACTTGAATGGTATTTGTTTAACTCCATTGGGTTGACTTGACCTCAGAGGTTTTTGACCTACAACTGGTTGGTGTTTTAAAAGTTGTAGTCAATTGATGTTCATTTTTAACCAAAAACTAAATGAGGCGGCTTTAGTTGCCGCTACCTTATCAGTACATTTAAAATTTCAATCTGAAGGCATGTAAAATAAAAAAGTTAATGTAGAGCTGTTACACGTTTCCACAACGTAACCAACCAGTTAAATAAGAGATGCATAAAAGTTCAACAAGCTTTTGGCAAATATTGGTCATTAATTTATGGTAGAAATAAACGCATGCAAGGGGATTCATTAATAGGAGCAGACGGGGATAAGGAATAGTAGCAGTAGAAAGTATTTCTGCATCGTGTTTTGTGCTAATTACCGCTGATTCAACCAAATTTGGAAAACATAATATTATCACAGATTATGCTTAGCGATATATACAGAAGCCTAATAAATAAACGCCGATTTTGCAAATTTATGATGATTAAAGACACATTTAAGTGAACTTAAATTAGATGTTCAATTTTTATTTATTAATAAAGTATTTTACATGTGGCATACAACTCCTGCAATACGTTGGTTTTGTCGTTACCTTAATTGCGCTATTTAATTTTTTTCAAATGGGTAAGTGAAATATAGTCCTCACTAATTGCCGCATGGTTTAGCGGAATAAATCATTGTAAAATTATATAAGAAAGTATTTACGTTTCAACAGCTGATTTCATTAAGCGTAACGTTTATTGAAATTCAGAAATGAAAATACTTTCATTTTTGAAAAATATATGAAATATACTTCCAGGTGTAACCGCGTAAACTTAGTTGTGAGGAAATTTAAATTGCAATATGCATCTGACTTATAGTAAATTTTGTCGTTATACAAAAAAATAGGTTTAATTTTCGTACCATTCTGTTGATTGGAAAAGCAAAAATTACCTACGTTAAACCTACCATATTTGTTTAATAGTGTTTTTAAGTGGGTGTGTTGGTCACAATTGTAAAGACGTTCAGATATTGAGCTGACAATAATAAATCGTCTTAATTTAATATATAGACTAATAATTATAAATTATGCATAATTTTATTATTTATAAAGGTTTCCTAACAGCATTAAGAACACGAATCCAGAATGACAAACTTAGAAGCTGGAGATTCTCAAGAAAATTAATTCTAGAAGATTCCTCAGCCGTAAAAAGAAACAACCCAAGCAGTGGCTTGTTAAAATTCAAAGCCTTTTATGCATAGTTAAAGCCAAAAAATAAAACCAAATTTACTTATTAAATTTTGTTCCTAAAATACATACATAGCCACAACCTTCTTTGGTTTTGATGTACAAGCAGTTTAAATTCGCTGTAAAATATACAACTCATATTAGTTGAAAGCGATTCATACTAAAGATCAAAAAGTAGCAAGTACTGAAGTGCTTCACCTTTCCAAAATTATTCTTATATCAGCAACATTGAAAGCAATTTGGGGAATTAGAATACTTCACCAATAAACGCCGCGGCTTTTCCTTTCATGTGAAAAAGATCGTTGGTATTTTCTTGTTTCTTTAAAGTTAGACCCATATGTTAAACAAATAAAAAAAATGATTGAAACGCATTAAAACTTGTGAATTACAATAATTAATCAGGATATCTTACCTGAAGAAACTCATTATGTCTTACCTTATCACCTTTAGAATATGAGATATAGTGATGTCTTCTGGTTAATATTAATTTTACATATTCATCTTAAATACCGGTTTGATCAGTAGGTTACTAAAAGTAGTTTTCCTCTAACTGAATTGTGCATTTATTCTAAAGAAAATTTCTTACGGTGGCACAAAATCCAAAGTCCGAGAGCTTGACCCTGCCATCTGAAGAGAGGAGAATTGAGTCCGATTTGATATCACGATGAATAATCCCGTTGCTATGAATAAAGGTCAACGCTGAGAGAATGGGAATGCTGATAGTCGCCACATGCTTTTCGTTTAATCTTTGAGGGAGAAAAACACCGATTGTGATTACAACATCCCCTTTCTGTTATAAGAATAGCAAATACTAAACTTCATTTTCGAAAAAAAAAATTGCTTAAATAAAAAACAATAGAAAAGCAAATTGGAACAGGTTCTTTTTGGATGGCAGTTTGCGATTTTGTCCTATGTATGTTAAAAACAAGTAAAATATATAAAAGTATAGCAACCGTTCGCCATTGTTTTTTTATTATTTACAAATGTGGTATTATATATTACTGACATAATTTCGGAAGTGTAGTCCAAACACCTAATGAAAATGATGCATAAGTAAGGGAAGGAAAAAGAAGAACATATAATATATCGATGTGCCAATGTTTTATATGCCTGTAAACTAATGTGAAGCCATATTTATGGATTTTGTCTGCTTTTTTTATAGTAAGTAGAATTGAAAAATGAATAATAATTTGCAAAATTTCTCTAGTTACACTTTAGGTCTTTTCTTTCTAGTTTTCGTCACCATCTTCATTTATTCCTCTTTAATATTATTCGTATATGCAAAATATAATATACTTTTATTTATGGAAAGGCGTTAATTAATTTTAAAAAAAGAATATGACATTGAAATTTATTACCATTGAATAAATTTGCTCATCGTAGATGTACAAAGTTATAAGTTATTTCTAATCTTATTTTAACAAATTAATATTATAAAAATAGAAGGTTAATTCAAAGTAAAACTGTATAATTTGCAAACGTTTGTGGAATTTTTGAAAGACTGAGGCCAGATTCACCTATTGCAAACAAAAATTATGCACGCCGACATATGCCGCAATAATGATAATATTAAATAGTGATTTTTTCCTTACAGCAGTAGATAAGTTAATATAATTTAGTTTTATCTCAGTGAGATAGTAAAATGCAGTGTACACATAATTTCCCAACCGGCATTGAAAAGGAAATTTTTAAACTATGAAAATGAACTATTTAAAAAATAATAATTTGAAAGGTTATCTTATGAAGGGAGCGTTGATAACACTTTTCGAGCACTGTATTACCTGCACATAGAAAAGAAGGAAAAAACGGCAATATTTATAAGTTCGAATTTCAAGGTATAAGGTTAAGTAGGTTGCTCAAAGTAGCGAAATGGAAAGATGAAAGAGTAGCCTCGTTTAGAGATTCACTTTATATGTTTCCGATTAAATTTTATACATTTAACTTCAAAAGAAAAACTGCAGGTTTTCGCATGAGCTGCGATCTGGCATTTGCTCAGTTTTTTACAGTTTTTAAAAAGCTACTGCTCCGCTCTCTAATTTATCATTTTTACACTTTTACATTCTGAAATCAATTCATTTCATGGCAAAAATAATTTACGCGCATCAAAATATTTAACTGCCAAACTCAAAACTTATATTCTTGTCAAGTTTCAAAAATTCACGAGACCACCACAAATATTTAGCGTCTGTAAAGGTAAAGCCATATCGTTTGAAAGTAAGATTTATCCTTTAAAAGTTGTGAGAATTTATAATTTTTACAAAAAATAGTTTATTATCTGTAAATTAAATTAAAATAGTAACAGCAAATATGATAAATCAATATTTTGGGGATAATATAACCAGCAAATATATCATTTTATTCACTCGATTGTGAATTAAGGCTAATTTATTTTCTAAAGCAAGTGCATTTAATTTTCAAACTGATAATATTTGTCAGGGTTGATGCTATCTCAATCAACATACGCATTATTCATCGTTGCGATTGGTCTGGCTTTAATTTATGCTCTTTAATTGTTAAATTTGAGAGTTTCAGTAAAAGTTTTCTCCATTGATGGACTGCTATCATACATTGCAAAATTGTAGATATTGAATTCTAATCGTTATTCTGGAAACCATATATTTTGAAGTTCTACATAATAGATAATCCGGTCATTTTACCAAATTTCTGCTTATGTAAACAAAAACATTATTTTCAATAATTTTCTCTTGAAACCTATTAATCGTACAAAATATATCTGCGCTTTAACTATCATAAATGAATTTTTATTGTTCATGCCTGACCCAAGGGAAACCCATTAGAGTTATTTGAGGCACAAAGGCTTTCAAGAGCCAATTTTTTTAAAACCGTCAAAAATTTCTTTTTGATAGATAACAACCTTGCGGAAACAATTTGTAATGCCTATTTTAAGTTTCTTATTTCCCATTGTGCCTGCATTGCGCCAAATTTGGGGTTAAAGTGGTTTTAATTATAACATATTATAAAAAGCACAGTAATATTACGAATGCTTTAACACAAAACCAAATAAAAGAACTGGAATAGTGAGAGAGCGAAATTAAATCTTATAGCTGAAAACCTTCTAAATCAGTTATAATCAATTTTAAAATTATTTTCTCGCTAATTTTCATATCAAATTGAACATTTATCGTAATACAGCTTTAAACTAGAAGAAAGATCTAGCCAATTTAAAGATATTTGCATCATTTGACACTATTCATTTGTGTTTGATCCGTCAAACTTATAAACATGAATATATAAATATATATGTATATGAGATGAGAAAGTTTCATCTGCGAAATCCCCAAGTACAACTTCGCTAATAAAAACAATAAATGGTAATAAATTCCAAGCAATATATTTTACTTTTCGATTCATCAGTAATTATCAGTGTTCCTTGCTCTGCAAGTAACTCTCAATGAGAACACTTTCACCGATAACTTTGGCCCAGGGAAGCTTTAAATCCATATTTGCTTTAAATTAAACTAACTCAAGACACATATATATATATAATAGTATAGAATATTAAAAAAACATGAAATGAATATATTGGATTTATTTATGTCTGAAACAAAGTCTAGTCGGAATGCCTTGACTGGTAAAATACTCAAACATATTGACTGTTGTAGCGGTTTGCTACTCTAGTAAGGCCTTGACTGACTAAGAAATCTCTTTGTCTGAAAACATTTTCCTCCAGCCTGTTTATAAACTTCATTAGAAGTGACAAGAGGGAGTTATCAAAACAAAATTTAGTTAAAATCATTGGTTATGGTTTTGACATTGACATCAATAATGGAAAATTGCTAAATTTGCCTACAATAATCACAAACTGATCCAACTAACGTATTTGTAAATGGTGCGTTTCCTTAATTTTCTACAATAAAAATCACAAATGGAATGCGGTTTTGATTATTTTGGTCAAATATGAAACCTTGCATTAGAAATTCGTTAACTTTGTCAAAATTTCATTTACTATTAAATGCATTTACAATTAAGGAATATCTCTTTAATCGTGGCTGTTTAAATTTTTTCTTGTCATAAGGACCTCCATAAGTCGGAATTAGCTATTTAGATCGATAACATCATGAATATTTTCAATATATGCTATCTAATTAAAACCATAAACCTTAAAACATGCTGAATAACCACAAGAAAATTATTAAGATTTTAGTGCCTTAATATGGATCCATTCAAAGAATCTGCATATCTTCTTCTCAACGTCTGCAAACGAGATCTTAATATAGTGAAGTCTTTGACACAAGAGTTAGTTACAAAAATACCTTCTTATTTTCCAGCTCTCAGTTTCCACCAAGCTGGAAGAATATTTTTGAAGTACAACTTTAAATTAGTCAATAAATTGTGAAGTCTTTAATTACTGTGAAACGACATTAATGTTTCGGCATTACCATACCGAGAGAATACTCTGACGTAAGCACAATCACACGTCATCACCACTTCATTCTACACCATGACTGTCATGGAGCCAAGGTGGCAGTTGATTAGTGCGTTGACCGACTAAACACAGTCATGTATGATGATAAATAGTGGCCAATGATTCGCTCACTTTTCTCCATTAAAAAGAATTTAAGGCAAATTTTATGGCGCGTGTTTTAATAAAGTAGTTATGATCTTATTTTTAATCAATAAATATCGATCATGACTGCAAAAATCCTCCTTTTGTTTAAGTAAGTGTATTAAACTCTATAGAAATGTCATAGGCAACGTATTAAAATATTTTTCCCAAAGAGTCGACCATGTTTATTTTAGTACTATCGTGCACATGCGCTTATGAATACATCATCAGACAGTCAGAATGTATATTATTTCTATTTTGTTTCGTATCTTTTTTTAACAGGAATTGACATGGTAAGCACTTTAATCCTGAACTATATCGATACGTCAGAACTTCTCTCCATTATTGATGCTTAAAATCTACCGCGTCATTCATTCCTTTAAATGGCTTTGCCACTCCGTCTTATACCTCACCTCCCCTCACCCCAAAAAAACCTGAGGTACTTATGATTGGTTTCTTGTGATTTCCAACTTGAAACAACCTTGACTGCATTTTCGTTTTGGAACGAAAATTGCAATGACATAGAACTTAAACTCATCGAAATTGTGCAAGGCATCACCAAATTGCCTCCCCCTTTACATATACACATGGAAATTAAATATTTACTTTTGCTCGATTAACACACATTTTAACATTTTAGGGATGTTTAAATGATCATCTCTTAAATATTAGGGAAAACTGTTTTCTGTTTTTAGGCAATAAAAAGGGCCATGTTTTGTAAGAACATCAATCATATTTAATACAGCCCACTTACTTGAATTACTTCTTTCAAAGGTTATAGATTACTGCATTGGTGACACTGATCACCATAGTTCTTGTTGACCTTGTTAATTCCAATTAACCCAAACCCTCATTTTTACAAATACCACAATTTGCACTGAACTCAATCCAAATTAGTAAAGTTTGGCATTCGTCTTAAGTTAGTACGTAGACTTAATTAGGCTCTCCAAACATTCAATTTTGGGAAAATTTACGTGTCGGGAATTTATGGTTTGGGGTTTATTACTGTGTGCACATAGTTAAGAGTTGAAAGTTCTTGCCGAGAGTTGGTTCTGTTACAACCTATAATCAACTCATTTATTTGGTTAGTTATTGTATAAGAATGCAAGCAATTCAAATTTTTGAAAAATACTCTTAATGGTATGGTAAGTGTGTTGAATAATATATAAACAATAAGATCTTCTATTCTTAGAGACTCCGTAGGTTTTAACTGTCACAAACATAATCCTTCACTATTTTATTGAAACACCCTTCCTTTTTAGCCCATATAATGCTAAATTCAGTCCATATTCCATTCCAATTCTCTCGTTATATAATATGGCATAGTAAACACGATAGGCACTGTTTTTTGGTAGTAGATGAGGTAGATGCAAATTAATTCGAGACACTATGCACTGTTATGAATATCTAATGTCAGTAACGCTCTATTTCTTGCACATCTAGCCTAGCGTTGTCTCCTTGGGCTTATCGTGCCTTCTGAGATTTGCTTTAGTATGCTATAGCACCCCAAGAGGAGTCCGATTCTCCTGACCGTAATATAATGTTTTGTAAACGCTCGAGCAATACTAAATATTTAGCATAGTACGCAACATTAGTACGTAACACACCATTTCAAAGTAAATCAAAAAGGAAAAATTTATCAAATGTAATTTGTCATTAAGACTATTTACAATTGATTGCAAAGCCGAGTTTCAATTACTGACACTGCACACATAATGAAATTTGTCATAACTTATCATCTGAGAACGCTTGAGCAACTCACAGACCTTATGTAGATTTTACATGAGTTTTAAGGTTTAAAAATGAAGATATAAAAAAGAAATATAGCTAAATGGTAAATTCCATTTTAGTCAGATAACTTTCTTAACATCGCAAGCAGTTTTCACATGTTATATCCCGATACTATTTACTGACTTCCTGTAGGTAATATGTTAAGACAACTTTCACCTTATAGAATTAGTTGAATAGGTTTAAATGAAAATTTTAGGTCCCATTGTCCAAACCAATTATCCATCCCTGGTTAAAAGAACCAAAACACGTCTATGAGTCTAGATGATTCACAGTGAAGCTTAATGAAGTCATCTAAGGAATAATAGTGAACCATTCTAAGCACGTTTTGTCTAATATTTTGATTATAGTCGCCCACACTCACTCGGAAATGACTACAAAGATGAAGTCGTAACGTTGTATCATTTTAGTGTTCGGGTGTCTAGACATTACATAATAAATTTCTGCTTATTGAAATTCTTGATTCGTAAAGAATTTTGTACTGTTTTCAATAAAAACCATCATCGAAAGGTGAGCGAATTAGGGCTAAAATATGATTGATGGCGATCCTATCCTTTTGACATTCGGAAACCTTGAAGAAACAACTTGATTTCAGAGATTTAAATAAAGCTTGACTTTAATCATGGAATAATTGTAGTTTCAGTTGGTTTTTGAGTAAACGTAACTGATTGCTTGGCATTTTTTTCTAATAATAGTTGCAATAATATGTTATACTTTTGTTTGGATATGAGGTCCAAGGGGTTTTAGACTATAGGGGGTTAGCGCAGTATAAAGACCACAGGTAACTTGAGGTTACTTAATCACCTAACTAGAGGCGCAGCTAATTTTATGTCATATATTTCTATAATTCGCCAAGGGATTACTGAAAAAAATGATTTGACCTCATATTAAGGGACGTCTTTTGACAGCTGGCAAGATTAATCGATCTATTTTATCTTTGAGAACTCGTCTATAATGGGAATTTTGCGACGTTAAATTAATCGTTTCATCCACCCAATCATTAGTAATGGAAACGTTCAAGTCAACTCATCACCTACTCTCCATCCCGAATTTTTTCAAATATCTTCAGATAAAAATTTAAATGATGATTAAAAGAAGCCGAGTACATAAATACATACATGCATTGAAATATTTTAAAAGGATTTAAGTACTACTTACCGGATGTTAGTGAGAATTGAAGTAAGTGCTCCGCAGTCCATAAACTCCATTATAACCCACAGTTCGTTGTTTATCATATAGCTTGAGTACATTTTTACGATATTGGGATGCGTAAAAGAACGCATTAGTACAGCCTGAAAGAGAAGGAAAGAAGGAGGCTTCGCTTTCATCTGACGGCAGGAATGCATACATGTAGCAGCTAAGAGAGCAAGGCTTAAAGTGTCTATCGGAAAGGAGAAAGAAAATATTCTCCTACCAAAAAATATAGCAGTTTTGAATAAGTTCCACATGTACTAACAGGTGCACTTCATCGCAGTGAGAAATGTACTAAAATTGTTGACTCTCAGTCTCAAGGGTTTTATTGAATGATCGCGTTTTTTTGCACAACTTTTTGATATTTCGAATTTTAAATAACCGAGTGTGCTAGATGTATTTCTAGACGAATCTGCTTACATTTGCCATCCAGTAAATGAATAATTTAGGCTACTCTTTAAATCTGTTCAAAACACATTTCGTTTCTTATAACCCACAAAAGGAGGTGTGGGATAGACTTACCTCCACGTGGTGCACCCTGG